AGTGACTGGTCTTTGGTACATTGGTAGAGGGCAATCATGACGTCATGAATCCAGTGAAATTAGTCGCACACCTTTTTACAGTAAAAAGGTACAGTAGATCAAAAGTGACATGTTTTGACCATTTTTTGGCTATTTTGGATCAAAATGGCTACTTTACCTCCATATTTCTCAATATTTCTACAGTAAAAGTTTCTGGTATTTGGTACAGTGGTAGAGGGCAATCATGAGGTCATGAATCCAGTGAAATTAGTCGCACACCTTTTTACAGTAAAAAGGTACAGTAGATCAAAAGTGACATGTTTTGACTATTTTGGACCAAAATGGCTACTTTAAATCAATATTTCTCAATATTTCTACAGTAAAAGTTTCTGGTCTTTGGTACAGTGGTAGAGGGCAATGTTGAGGTCATGAATCCAGTGAAATTAGTCGCACACCTTTTTACAGTAAAAAGTTACAGTAGATCAAAAGTGACATGTTTTGACTATTTTTGAGGTATTTTGGACCAAAATGGCTTCTTTAAATCAATATTTCTCAATATTTCTACAGTAAATGTTTCTTGTCTTTGGTAGAGTGGTAGAGGGCAATGTTGAGGTCATGAATCCAGTGAAATTAGTCTCACACCTTTTTACAGTAAAAAAGTTGATCAAAGTAGATCAAAGGTGGGAATTTTCTTAGTTTTGTGTATTTTGGACTAAAAAGTGTAATTTGTCTCAATTTTACCCACAATTTCCAAAGTAAAGGTTTGTGGTTGTAGGCACAGCGGTGAAGGCAGTGGTGAGGTCATACACCCAGTGGAATAAGATACTCAAGTCTTTACTGTAAAAATGGACAGCAGCTGAAAATTTCCCTTTTTGACCAAATTAAATGTCGAACATTTTAAGTTTTTACATGCTTTTCCAAATAAGGGTTTATTCATAAAACGAGTCTCCTAAGCGCGCTTTCTGTTCGAGGAGAAAAGCTGACTGCGAAAGGCTGTTCTGCTATTACCGTAAGCAGTCAACAAAACGCGCACTGCTTTTCTCTCGATGCGGGCCGTTTTACTTTGGAGGTGAAAGATGCGGCCCACTTTACCGCGGTCCCATGGCCCATCAGCAGAGGTGTTGATGGGGCCCCACCCCCCCAGTTCAGTGACTGCAGGCGAATCTGATAGGTAAGTTTGCCAAATGCAACTTCTGCTTACAGGTTACCACTCATCCACCGTCAACTAAAAAGTATTTTGTCCTACAGGGAAGACTTTCACATTGCAGGAGTTGAACCTCTGACAGCAGATACAAGGTTACAATCGTTAGAGGAAAGGTAAACATGCATGAATTTTAACATTTGACGAATACTGTTTTTTGTAATGAATGTAAATTGTCTTATTGTGAAGCGGCAAATCAATGGAGCTGAAGGAAGAGGCTTTGAATGAGGAGCAAGCCAATAATCTGAAAAACAGTGTGTACGTTATTCTCAATGTAATTCAATGTGTATGTGTTGGTTCATAATTTACATATTGGGCTGTTCTTTTTTAATTCCAGAATAGAGTTTGAGGGGGGTGGAGTTTCAGACCCGTATGATTCAGATTATGTGCCACCAATCTCATTACGGTATGTATCTTTTTTCTTATCTTTTACTTTTCACTCACTGATAGTATACATTTCATTTGGGTTGTAAAATAGCGGTGCATCGCATATGCTTACATGCCTTTTGTGTTTATGTTTTAGCTGACGGGAGGATCTACTTTCCAGGTAATGCACAAATCTCTGTGGTATTTCATTAATATCGGTGTGTTGTTATTGAAATGTTTGTCATTATTTCCCCCACAATCTATATATTTTTCCAAAAAGGTCACTACTATGTGCTGTACGTACACAAAGATGGAGCTAGACACCATGGACATCGTAAGTGTTTATTGTATTTAACACAGGTCTGGTAAGACTTTTTAAAATATAATTGTGGTGTCTTCAATCAGGCTGGAATCGTTTCTGGTCAAAAGGCTTTACTTGTATGGATCGAGGACATCTTTAACCATTTCTGGTATGCTTGTCAGCACACAAGCACCAGAGAGGAGTTTATGGTCTGTATGAACATTGGATATTTATAACGTCACTAGATAATGTAATTTTCTCTTTATGTGGTGACATGGTATAACTTTTGATATACGACGTATTGTATACATTTAGGGTGTGTGGAGAGATGTACTTCACCGTATGCGCCTCTGGAGGATAAACAGCACAAAGAGCCCATTCCACGCGGTTCTTAACCGGAGGTGGCTGAAGGATATTGAGAAGTTGCTCATCTTTCGGTGAGTCATGTGGGTGACATCTGGTGGGAATGTACAGGAACTGCCTTTTTAATACTACAAAGTATATTATATTACACAGAGATCGAATTTATTTGTATGTTTGACGTTACAATAATCTTTGTTCTGTAGGATAACTTCGAAGCTCGAATCTTTCCAAAACCACGTCCTGATGTACGCAGGGAAGCGTTTTGGATTTACTTATGGATTTACTTATGGATTTACTTATGGATTTACTTATGGATTTACTTATGGCGCCTATGAAGCTCGTACACTCCTCGCTGCATTAGACTACAACCTCCATAACCATCGCCCAGTGCATGTGAACAGCAAAGGCCAAGTATCGTAAGTCATACTTTATTATCAAGATTCAGTATAAAAGCAATAAAGAAATATATTATTTCTACTGATGTCTACAGAAAAAGTCTCAGCGTTACACTGTGAAGGAGACTAAAGACTACAGCTCTATCCCAGACCAGCGCCTCAGCTCTGCTTGGGAACTCATGACCCCAGGGCCATGGGTCCTCATCATCCCTCCTCCTGCTGGGGAACTCATGACCCCAGGGCCATGGGTCCTCATCATCCCTCCTCCTGCTGGGGGACTCATGACCCCAGGGCCATGGGTCCTCTGTCCTCCTCATCCCTCCTCCTGCAGCTGAACTGGAGCAGACACAACAGAGGACAGGTAGTGATGATAATCAAGTGGGAAAAAAATCTCTATGATATAAAATATTTTTCTTTCTTTTTCTAGGACTTTTTTATCTGGTCCCTGAACAGAGGCTGACAGCAATCAAAGATGGACACAGCACATTTATTTATATTATGTCAAATATAATGTTTTTTCCCCCAAACATTGAAATAAAAGAAAGACTCATTTCTAAAGTGGTGATGAGTTGAATTTTAGTTTTAATTCCCTACTGTGGAACGAATAAAGGGGCGTCTTTATAACCCACATGTCCTGCTCTTCTCATTCTAGCCTGGCCTCTCCTCTGGCTGCTCCTCTTCCTCCTCTTGCTGCTCCTCTTCCTCATCTTCTTGCTGCTCGTCTGCCTCCTCCTCTTCCCCATTCAAAGTCACTGCTCTCAGAAACTACAGATTCAACTGGACTGGAGTCCTGGAAGGAAAAGCAAAAATATTTAGATGTCACTGTTCTGGAATGTGTGTTTTGTACAAACTTCATCTAAAAATATTTTGAATTTATCAGAACAGTTGATATAGTTTTATACCTACAGACAACTTGTGTAGTATTAGTAGCAGACTAGTGTCAGTATTAACACTAATAAAAACAAAACAGTAACAGTGGTAATTATGCTGTATTTTCTATGGGAATAATAATGTTGCTAATGTTAGCTTGTCTTGGCTGCAAAATAAGAGTGACTTCACTGACTTATGTTTATGAGTAGTAAATATACTACAAAAAGTCTCATGCTACGCTAACCTTATAAGGCCCAATGAAAAGATGATTTTGGCTTGTCATGGAAGCATTTCTATCTGTGGAATTGTATTATTACAGTTAGGTGCACGTTTATATATACATAATAGACACTTTTTTGTTCCCCTTTCAAATGTTGTTCATTTGTGTGAATATAATGTGGCTTCAGGCTTTTGATAATTCACTTTGCTTTACATTTTCTGAAGTATCACATCTTGGAAAATATACACATTGATTTGGTCTAAATATCATACAAAACAGTAACATGTCTTACCTCTGTTGAAGTCATCCCCGCAAATCTGTAACTTATCGAGGACAGGACCATACCAGCTGTTGTTTATGTTCTGTTCCTCGTGCACGCGCCTCTCATTCAGACTGCAGTTACACCTCTGGCCAGAGGGGGGTTCGTGAGCACAAAAACTGCAAACTCCGCAAGGCTCCTTTAAACTTTAACGTGTTATATAGTTGCCTTTAGTTTTTTTATTTTTGATCATGTACATGTTTTGTAGTTTCACTGTTTGTACTTTGTAGTATTATTGTATTGTATTATTATTGTATTGTTTTACTGTTGCTCTGTAAAGTGCCTGTGACGTGTGCTACAGACCTCTTGGCCAGGACTCCCTTGAAAGAGATCTCGATCTCAATGGGTATTTTCCTGGTTAAATAAAGGTCAAAAAATAAAAAAATAAAATACAAAAATTGGTGATGATCAGGACACTTTAGCATTCTACAACGTGTATGGACATTTTCTTCTGTGTGTGCTTTATATTCTTCATGTGTTTTAACTGTTGATTCTCTGACCTGTGTTGGTGATTTCAATGGTTTTGTTAAGTCTCTGAGATGATTCTGTTGTGACCTAGGGCTATACAAGAATACATTCTATTGTATCACAACAAACACACAAAGGACATCACAACAAGTGTGTGTCTGTAGTGTTGTGTGTCTGTGTTGTGTAGTAGTGTACAGGAGGCCAGTCCCTGTGCTCCTCAGAGTCCCAGCAGGAGGTCAGTCCCTGTGCTCCTCAGTCCCTGTGGTCTTCACAGGGAAAATGCCTCATGTTGTTTTTTCTGACTCACTCCATTACGTAACGCGCTGACGTAATGACATCACGGGGCCCGTTTCCCAAACGCGGAAGAGAAAGATAAAAACAACAGGAGCAGAGGGAGCGACGGAGCCTTTCCCCGTAAACAGGAGCCCAGACCCCGCAGACCCCCGCAGAGCCCCCGCAGACCTCCGCAGACCACAGACCCCCGGTACTCTCTCACTTATATCCCCGCAGCTGCAAACATGTCGCTGTTGAAGATATTTGGAAAAGGAAAAGGAGAGAAGAAGCCAACGCCACAAGACGCGATCCAGAAGCTCCGGGAAACGGAAGACATGTTGATAAAGAAGCAGGAGTTTCTGGAGAAGAAGATCTCACAGGAGCTGAGCACAGCCAAGAAGTATGGCACGAAAAACAAACGAGGTGAGACTGGAACCAGTGCTAAAGTCTGAGCTAGCTACAGGCTACATGCTACAGGCTACATGCTACATGCTACATGCTAACAGGAAGTGACCCTGTCAGCTGCCAACAGCCATAACAAATCTGCACATATTAAACTGTAAAACACTCACGTCTGAGGAAGTAATGGCTGAATCTGATTAAACTAACACTGTTTTCGACATAGTTATCTCTATGTTCTTCTTTGAGTTAGCAACATAGAGATAAATGTTGTTATCTCCAGGAGCGTCTCCTGTGGCCCTCAAGGTTTATTTATTTATTTATTTGGTATGGACATAACAATAGCATTGGACAAACCAGATACATTGTTTTTAGTGTTATAGCAAGATTGCTAATTTGCAACATTAAAGTGGTTAGTATCGTGGAGCAGAAAGAACAGTAAACTTTACTACAGTATGGTTTATCTATACTAGACTATACCAGAGTATAGATAGTCTATACTAGACTATACCAGAGTATAGATAATCTATACTAGACTATACCAGAGTATAGATAGTCTATACTAGACTATACCAGAGTATAGATAATCTATACTAGACTATACCAGAGTATAGATAGTCTATACTAGACTATACCAGAGTATAGATAATCTATACTAGACTATACCAGAGTATAGATAATCTATACTAGACTATACCAGAGTATAGATAATCTATACTAGACTATACCAGAGTATAGATAATCTATACTAGACTATACCAGAGTATAGATAATCTATACTAGACTATACCAGAGTATAGATAATCTATACTAGACTATACCAGAGTATAGATAATCTATACTAGACTATACCAGAGTATAGATAATCTATACTAGACTATACCAGAGTATAGATAATCTATACTAGACTATACCAGAGTATAGATAATCTATACTAGACTATACCAGAGTATAGATAATCTATACTAGACTATACCAGAGTATAGATAATCTATACTAGACTATACCAGAGTATAGATAATCTATACTAGACTATACCAGAGTATAGATAATCTATACTAGACTATACCAGAGTATAGATAATCTATACTAGACTATACCAGAGTATAGATAATCTATACTAGACTACACCAGAGTATAGATAATCTATACTAGACTACACCAGAGTATAGATAATCTATACTAGACTACACCAGAGTATAGATCATCTATACTAGACTATTTATTAATACGATAGTAGTGGTCACAGTCCAATGGCTCATGAGTGAGAAGCACAGGTCTGTGATGTCACATGTGGAGCTTTAGTAAAACAGAAACAGCTGATGATCAATGAGACGTCAGGAAACAACACCTCAGAAGCTAAGCAGGGCAGCGCCTGGCTTGTTCTGTGATGTCAGACCTCTGTGGGGTGGCTGTAAAGTGCTAAACTGAGGCTAGCACTTGACACACAGCGTCCAGGGCGTGGTCGACGTGTGGAGCACTTTACTGTGAACATATAAGATATTACTTTATTCTCCACAGTAGATAAAAGTCTGTGATCGTTACAGCAGTGAAAGAAGGAAATAAGACTCAGACGCACACATCAGTAGTATTTAAGATAAAAGACAAAAAAATTAACATCGTCTGAATGAGAAGTTCCTACTTTTAAAGCTAAATCTAACTTTTCTCTAACTTCTCAGTCTGAAATAGTGAGATATTAATAGAAATATGTTAGAGCATAGTTTAAATGTATTATATCAGTGATAACAGTAAGTTTTATTCATGTTTGTGGTTGATTTATTTTAATAAATACACAAGACTTTACACATCTGCAACATGACTCTTTGGTAACAAAGGCCACAGACCCTGGTCCAGTACCATGCTGTGTGTATCAGTCTGCCACAGGGCAGCTGTGGCGGCAGTAGCACTTTACCACCACACGTGGAATGAATATTAAGATAAGATAAACCTTTATTAGTCTCACAGTGGAGACATTTCAGTGTCATCGTTGCACATTACAGCAGAGAGAGGAAATAAGAGCACTCAGATTGCACACATCAAAGTCTATTATTTAAGATAATAGACAATAAAATAAGATAAAAATAAAATGAGAAACTCTGGGCTATAATTGCACTTGGTTCGGAGTATTTACAGATGTCTATATTATACATTAGCAGCGGAGAATATGAGAATATGAGCAGAATAAACATCAGAAATAATATCGACAGGTAAAGTGACTTGAATGGGAGAATTATCAGATATGAAATAATACAGTAGTACTGATAACAGTAAATATCAGATATGTAATAATACAGCAGTACTGATAACAGTAAATATCAGATATGTAATAATACAGCAGTACTGATAACAGTAAATATCAGATATGTAATACTGTATTAGTACTGATAACAGTAAATATCAGATATGTAAAAATACAGCAGTACTGATAACAGTAAATATCAGATATGTAATAATGCAGTAGTACTGATAACAGTAAATATCAGATATGTAATAATACAGCAGTACTGATAACAGTAAATATCAGATATGTAATAATACAGTAGTACTGATAACAGTAAATATCAGATATGTAATAATACAGCAGTACTGATAACAGTAAATATCAGATATGTAATAATACAGCAGTACTGATAACAGTAAATATCAGATATGTAATACTGTATTAGTACTGATAACAGTAAATATCAGATATGTAATACTGTAGTAGTACTGATAACAGTAAATATCAGATATGTAATAATACAGTAGTACTGATAACAGTAAATATCAGATATGTAATAATACAGCAGTACTGATAACAGTAAATATCAGATATGTAATACTGTATTAGTACTGATAACAGTAAATATCAGATATGTAATACTGTAGTAGTACTGATAACAGTAAATATCAGATATGTAATAATACAGTAGTACTGATAACAGTAAATATCAGATATGTAATACTGTAGTAAGTTGAAAGTCCGTCTGACAGGGGGCTCAGCAAGACGTTCCCAGCAAACCCTCACTACACGCTTGGGCCTGCCAGGTCTGACCGGCCTCCTGCCCTGCCAGCGGATCCAACTCACGACCAGGTGATGATCGGTTGACAGCTCCTCCCCCACAAGCTCGGGCTCCTTCCCCCCCAGTGAGGTGACGTTCCACGTCCCAAGAGCCAGATGTTGGGTGTGTGGACTGGGTCGCCGAGGTCTCCGCCTTTGACTGCCGCCCAGTCCTCTTTGCACCTCGCCACCACGGACCCCTCTGCAGGTGGTGGGCCCACAGGAGGGACTGCCCACGTCATCCCTTCGGGCTGAGCCCGGCCGGGCCCCGTGGGCTAAGGCCCGGCCACCAGGCGCTCGCTTGCGAGCCCCAGGCCTGGCCCCAGGGTGGGGCCCCGGCTGCGCCATGCCGGGCAACGTCACGGTTCTCATTGTCGTGCTGTCCATGTTGGCTTCGGACTGCGCTTTGTCTGACTCGTCACTTGAGACCTGTCTGCCATGGGAGACCCTACCAGGGGCATGAAGCCCCAGACAGCATAGCTCCCAGGATCATCCGAGTGCTCAAACTCCCCCACCACGTTAAGGTGGCAGTCCAAGGGGGGAGGTTGGACGAACTCCCATGAACCCTCGAGTTTCCGATGGAGAGTATAGAGCTGGTCCAGTGTTCCGCGACCGGGACGAAAACCACACTGCTCCTCCTGAATCCGAGATTCGACCATCGGACGTAGCCTGCTCTCCAGTACCTTGGAGTAGACCTTACCGGGGAGGCTGAGGAGTGTGATCCCACGATAATTGGAACACACCCTCCGGTCCCCCTTCTTGTAGAGAGGGACCACCACCCCGGTCTGCCACTCCATTGGCACCGCCCCCAATCGCCACGCGATGCTGCAGAGACGTGTCAGCCAAGCCAAGACAGTCCTACAACATCCAGAGACTTTAGATAGTCAGGACGGATCTCATCCACTCCCGGCGCCTTGCCACCATGGAGGCTGCCAACCACCTTGGTGACCTCGGCCAGGGAGATGGAAGTATCCGCCCCAACATCCTCAGCCTCTGCCTCCTGGACGGAGGACGTGACGGGGGGGGGTTGAGGAGAACCTCGAAGTATTCCTTCCACCGCCCGACAATATCCCCAGTTGAGGTCAGCAGCCCTCCACCCGCACCATACACGGTGTTGGCAAAGAACTGCTTCCCCCTCCTGAGGCGCCGGACGGTTTGCCCTAACCCTAACCCATGCTCCATGGACTCTCCAAACTCCTCCCAGACCCGGGTTTTTGCCTCTGCAACAGCCCGGGCCGCGGCACGCTTGGCCTGCCGGTACTGGACAGCTGCCTCAGGAGTCCCACGAACCATCATTGCTCGATAGGACTCCTTCTTCAGCCTGACGGCATCCCTTACTGCCGGTGTCCACCACCGGGTTCGGGGATTGCCGCCGGGACCAGCACCAGAGACCTTGCGACCACAGCTACGAGCCGCCGCATTGGCGATAGAGGAAGAGAACATGGTCCACTCGGACTCGATGTCCCCCTCCTCTGCCGGGACCTGGGAGAAGCTCTCCCGGAGAAGGCGTTCGACCGTGTTCCCCGGGGTGTCCTTTGGGGGGTCCTCCGGGAGTACGGGGTCCGGGGTCCTCTGCTGAGGGCCGTCCGGTCCCTGTATGACCGGAGTCAGAGCTGTGTTCGCATTGCCGGCAGTAAGTCAGACCTGTTCCCGGTGCATGTTGGCCTCCGCCAAGGCTGCCCTTTGTCACCGGTTCTGTTCACTGTATTTATGGACAGAATCTCTAGGCGCAGCCAGGGGCCGGAGGGGGTCCGGTTCGGGAACCACAGGATTTCATCTCTACTTTTTGCGGATGATGTCGTCCTGCTGGCTCCAACAAACCAGGACCTGCAGCATGCACTGGGACGGTTTGCAGCCGAGTGCGAAGCGGCTGGGATGAGAATCAGCACCTCCAAATCCGAGGCCATGGTGCTCGACCGGAAAAAGGTGCCTTGCCCTCTTCAGGTGTGTGCAGAGGTCCTTCCTCAAGTGGAGGAGTTCAAGT